AGTAACTTTTTTATCAAAGATTCTATATCTATATATCTATCTAATCAAGATAAAAATGGATGAGAAACCGAGATAGTTACCTTTCAGAAAATTATAATGATAGTGAAAATCATTAAATTTGTTTGATTCTTCTAAAGGTCGGAAAAGAGATAAAACAAGACGAAATTTATTTTGAATCCAAATTTCAGTTTGAAACTCGTGTAATGAACTTTTTTTAGTGAACCTGAAAAACACTAAGATCCATTGAAGATCCATCTTAATGAAAACGGAACCTCTAAAAGAGTTAGTTTTTGAGCCGTATGAGGTAGGAAACTCTCAAGTACGGTTCTAAGGGAAGGAGTTTATCGACCTATTCCGACCGGGGAGAACAGGCTATTCAAGAGGGAGATTCTGAAATTGCAGAGGTTTGGTTCGCTCAAGCCGCGGAGTATTGGAAACAAGCTTTAGTGCTTACTCCAGGTAATTATATAGAAGCCCATAATTGGTTGAAGATCACGGGGTCGATACGAATAAAAAAATGTACTCTACTTTAGCCTTGCTTTCTTTGAACAATTTATTCTTTTATTGAATTCTATGCCTTACTAAGTGTTCTATGTCATTTAGTATTTTGGAATACCAAAATATACTTGTTTTCTTTTTATCATAAATATGATAAAAAGAAAACAAGTATTAATGATTACTCGCATCAGTTCAAATAGGGGTAAGAGCACAATTCAGATCTTCTAGGCAAAAACTCCATCTAAGAGTTTCAAAAAGCCATTTTACGTAAAAAGGTCCGCTGAGCACTTAATATATCTGTAATAATAAATCTGACCACTTGTCCCGTAGCAACTTTTATATCATAATTGCTTTAGATAAAAATAAACCAAAGGTGAAATTAGCGGGTCTCTTTTTATATGTTGTCCGTAAAGAAAATAGGAGGACTCCATGATTATTCGTTCGCCGGAACCAGAAGCCAAAATTTTGGTGGATAGGGACCCTGTAAAAACATCTTTTGAGGAATGGTCCAAACCTGGCCATTTCTCAAGAACACTAGCTAAAGGTCCTGATACTACCACTTGGATCTGGAACCTACATGCTGATGCTCACGATTTTGATAGCCATACTAGTGATTTGGAGGAGATATCGCGAAAAATATTTAGTGCCCATTTTGGACAACTATCTATAATCTTTCTTTGGCTTAGCGGTATGTATTTTCACGGTGCTCGTTTTTCCAATTATGAAGCGTGGCTAAGTGATCCAACTCATATTGGGCCTAGCGCCCAAGTAGTTTGGCCGATAGTAGGTCAAGAAATATTGAATGGTGATGTGGGAGGGGGTTTTCGAGGAATTCAAATAACCTCTGGTTTTTTCCAGCTGTGGAGAGCATCTGGAATCACTAATGAATTACAACTCTATTGTACCGCAATAGGTGCATTGGTCTTTGCAGCGTTAATGCTTTTTGCCGGTTGGTTTCATTATCATAAAGCAGCTCCCAAATTGGCTTGGTTTCAAGATGTAGAATCTATGTTGAATCATCATTTGGCGGGTCTACTCGGACTTGGTTCTCTCGCTTGGGCGGGCCATCAAGTACATATCTCTTTACCGATTAACCAATTTCTAAATGCTGGAGTCGATCCTAAAGAAATACCACTTCCTCATGAATTTATCCTGAATCAAAATCTTATGGCTCAACTTTATCCCAGTTTTGCCGAGGGAATAACCCCGTTTTTCACCTTAAATTGGTCAAAATATGCCGATTTTCTTACGTTTCGGGGAGGAGTAGATCCTGTAACTGGTGGTCTATGGCTGACCGATATTGCACACCATCATTTAGCTGTTGCTATTATTTTACTTATCGCGGGGCATATGTATCGTACCAACTGGGGCATTGGTCATGGACTAAAAGATATTTTAGACGCTCATAAGGGTCCATTTACAGGTCAGGGCCATAAAGGTCTATACGATATCCTAACAACATCATGGCATGCTCAATTATCTATTAACCTAGCAATGCTAGGCTCTTTAACTATTATTGTAGCTCACCATATGTATTCCATGCCCCCTTACCCATATCTCGCTACTGACTACGGTACACAATTGTCATTATTCACACATCACATGTGGATTGGTGGATTTCTTATAGTAGGTGCTGCCGCTCATGCATCCATTTTTATGGTAAGAGACTACGATCCAATTAATCGATACAACGATCTATTGGACCGTGTCCTTCGACATCGTGATGCTATAATCTCACATCTGAACTGGGTATGTCTATTTCTAGGCTTTCACAGTTTTGGTTTGTATATTCATAATGATACGATGAGCGCGTTAGGGCGTCCTCAAGATATGTTTTCAGATACTGCTATACAATTACAACCTGTTTTTGCTCAATGGATACAAAACACCCATACTTTAGCACCAGGTACAGCAGCAAGCACCAATTTTACTTGGGGGGATATAGTAACAGTGGGTGGTAAAGTAGCTTTGGTACCTATTCCATTAGGAACCGCGGATTTCTTGGTCCATCACATTCATGCATTTACGATTCATGTGACAGTCTTTATACTCTTGAAAGGTGTTCTATTTGCTCGCAGTTCCCGTTTGATACCGGATAAAGCAAATCTTGGTTTTCGTTTTCCTTGTGATGGACCTGGAAGAGGGGGTACATGTCAAGTATCGGCCTGGGATCATGTTTTCTTAGGCCTATTTTGGATGTACAATTGTATTTCGGTAGTCATTTTTCATTTCAGTTGGAAAATGCAGTCAGATGTTTGGGGCAGTATAAATGATCAAAGAGTAATAACTCATATAACCGGAGGGAACTTTTCCCAGAGTTCTATTACTATTAATGGGTGGCTTCGCGATTTCTTATGGGCACAGGCCTCCCAAGTAATTCAGTCCTATGGTTCTTCATTATCTGCATATGGCCTTTTTTTCTTGGGTGCTCATTTTGTATGGGCTTTTAGTTTAATGTTTCTATTCAGTGGACGTGGTTATTGGCAAGAACTTATAGAATCCATAATTTGGGCTCATAATAAATTAAAAGTTGCTCCTGCTACTCAGCCAAGAGCCTTGAGCATTGTACAAGGACGTGCTGTAGGAGTAACCCATTACCTTCTGGGTGGAATTGCCACAACATGGGCATTTTTCTTAGCACGAATTATTGCAGTCGGATAATGGCTAGGAGGATTTGAAAGGCGCTATGGCATTAAGATTTCCAAGGTTTAGCCAAGGCTTAGCTCAGGACCCCACTACTCGTCGTATTTGGTTTGGTATTGCTACTGCACATGACTTCGAGAGTCATGATGATATTACAGAGGAACGCTTTTATCAAAATATTTTTGCTTCGCACTTCGGTCAATTGGCAATAATTTTTTTGTGGACTTCTGGGAATCTATTTCATGTAGCTTGGCAAGGAAATTTCGAGTCGTGGATACAGGACCCTTTACATGTACGACCTATTGCTCATGCTATTTGGGATCCTCATTTTGGTCAACCGGCCGTGGAAGCTTTTACTAGAGGGGGTACCCTTGGCCCGGTGAATATCGCTTATTCTGGTGTTTATCAGTGGTGGTATACAATCGGGTTACGCACTAATGAAGATCTTTATACTGGAGCTATTTTTCTATTATGTATTTCTGCCATTTGCTTAGTAGCAGGTTGGTTACACCTACAACCTAAGTGGAAACCAAGTGTTTCATGGTTCAAAAATGCCGAATCCCGCTTAAATCACCATTTGGCAGGACTTTTTGGCGTAAGTTCCTTGGCTTGGACAGGGCATTTAGTACATGTTGCGATTCCTGCGTCCAGAGGGGAGTACGTTCGATGGAATAATGTATTAGATGTATTACCACACCCTCAAGGATTAGGGCCCCTTTTGACAGGTCAGTGGAATATTTATGCTCAAAATCCCGATTCAAGTATTCATTTATTTGGTACCTCCCAAGGAGCAGGAACTGCCATTCTAACGTTTCTCGGAGGATTTCATCCCCAAACGCAAAGTTTATGGCTGACCGATATGGCACACCATCATTTAGCAATTACATTTATTTTTCTCGTTGCTGGTCATATGTATAGAACTAATTTTGGTATTGGGCATAGTATAAAAGATCTTTTAGATGCACATATTCCTCCGGGAGGACGATTAGGTCGTGGGCATCAAGGGCTTTATGACACAATCAATAATTCACTTCATTTTCAATTAGGTCTTGCTTTAGCTTCGTTAGGGGTTATTACTTCCTTAGTAGCGCAACATATGTACTCTTTACCTGCTTATGCATTCATAGCACAAGATTTTACTACGCAAGCTGCATTATATACCCATCACCAATATATCGCAGGATTCCTTATGACAGGAGCTTTTGCTCATGGAGCTATTTTTTTAATTAGAGATTATAATCCCGAGCAAAACCAAGATAATGTATTGGCACGAATGTTAGATCATAAAGAAGCGATCATATCTCATTTAAGTTGGGTTAGTTTATTCTTGGGATTTCACACCCTCGGACTTTATGTTCATAATGATGTAATGCTTGCCTTTGGTACCCCGGAGAAGCAAATCTTAATTGAACCTATCTTTGCTCAATGGATACAATCCGCTCACGGTAAAACGTCCTACGGTTTCGATCTACTTTTGTCTTCAACAACTGGTCCAGCATTTCATGCAGGGCGAAGTATCTGGTTGCCAGGTTGGTTAAATGCTGTTAATGATAGCAGTAATTCATTATTCTTAACAATAGGTCCCGGAGACTTTTTAGTTCATCATGCTATTGCTTTGGGTTTACATACAACTACATTGATCTTAGTTAAAGGTGCTTTAGATGCACGTGGTTCAAAGTTAATGCCGGATAAAAAGGATTTTGGTTATAGTTTTCCGTGCGATGGCCCAGGCCGAGGCGGTACTTGTGATATTTCGGCATGGGATGCATTTTATTTGGCAGTTTTTTGGATGTTAAATACTATTGGTTGGGTTACTTTTTATTGGCATTGGAAACACATAACCTTATGGCAGGGTAATGTTTCACAGTTTAATGAATCTTCCACTTATTTGATGGGCTGGTTAAGAGATTATTTATGGTTAAATTCTTCACAACTTATCAACGGATATAATCCTTTTGGTATGAATAGTTTATCTGTCTGGGCATGGATGTTCTTATTTGGACATCTTATTTGGGCTACTGGATTTATGTTCTTAATTTCTTGGCGAGGCTATTGGCAGGAATTAATTGAAACTTTAGCATGGGCTCACGAACGTACACCTTTGGCAAATTTGATTAGATGGAGAGATAAACCGGTGGCTCTTTCTATTGTGCAAGCAAGATTAGTCGGATTAGCCCACTTTTCTGTAGGTTATATATTGACTTATGCTGCGTTCTTAATTGCCTCTACATCGGGTAAATTTGGTTAAATTGCCTGTGTTTGTATCCTTGAAAATATCATTTTTTTTTTTATGTAAGGGGTTTTTATTTCTACATCTAGGATTACACTTATATACTTATATTATGTATACGATACTAATAGGAACTTAATATTTATGGCACGAAAAAGTTTGATTCAGCGAGATCAAAAAAGGAAAAAATTGGAACGAAAATATTATTTGATTCGTCAAGCCTTAAAAAAAGAAATACGCGAAGTTCCTTTGTTAAGTGACAAATGGAAAATTTATGAGAAATTACAATCCCCACCGCGGAATAGTGCACCTACGCGCCTTCGTCGACGTTGTTTTTTGACCGGAAGGCCAAGAGGTAACTATCGAGACTTTGGATTATCCGGACACATACTTCGTGAAATGGTTCAAGCATGTCTGTTGCCAGGAACAAGAAGATCGAGTTGGTAAAGATAAACACTTGCTTTCTAGGATAAATGGTACTCGGGGCCCCTTTACTTTTCTGTATAAATAGGTTATTCTTTTTATAAAGTATAGGGAGGGGTCCAGTCAATCTGTGTTTTTCTATTTATATTTATATATTCATTTTAAAAATTTGAAGTCTTTATGCTAAAGCTTCAGGGCGGAGTAGAGCAGTCTGGTAGCTCGCAAGGCTCATAACCTTGAGGTCACGGGTTCAAATCCTGTCTTCGCAACATCGTCTTTTGCCAAAAAATTTCTGGATTGCCTTCATTAACTCATTTTAAATAACACACCCTTTACTAGCACGAACAATTCAATTCTTTTTTCTTTTCAAATACAAAACAGATAAAAAAGGT